AATAAAAAAAAATATAAGGTATTCTTAAGTGAACAAAGCTTGCCCAAATAATTTGGATTGAAAGAATAAGCTGTTTGGAAAAAGCAAGTGCTTTTGAATTAGAGAGAGTGTGCTTGAATTCCCCTTGGCTACTCCCCAGCTGGATGACCTGTGGCAAGTTCCAAAGCCTCACTCAGTTTCCTCATCTGTAAAATGAGGCTTATCATCTCTACCTTTCATTGTTTTGGTTAGAAGGATAAAAAGAGAATGTAGCTAATAAAATTTATCAAGATGGCAACCTATAACAGAGCATGAATACAAAATAGGAAAATTCCAGGAGATCTTATTTTTAGAAGCTGTATGTAGAAGTGGAGAAGCAGAGAAACTAAAAGGGATAGTGCATGTGAGGGGATGGTTGCTGGGACCCAAAGGCAGAGAAAAAGTCACAGTGACCTTTGCTGGAGGGAGCCAAGAAAATAAATATTCTGACCTTATTTTTCTCTTTCCCTCTAGTCTTTAGCCAAACCCCAAGGTAGAGGGCATCAGAGCCCTTGCAGTTCAGCCTGGGGGAAAACCACAGGGTGCAGAAGGATGGAGAAGGTATCTCAGGGAGCAAAAGGAAGCACACCACAACATAATAATGGGTCCTAATTGCTGAGCATTTTCTATGTAACAGATACAAACGCTTTATTTGGGTGGACTCATTTAATCCAAATAACCTTATAAAGCAAATGCTATTATTTTCCTGCTTATAAATGAGGAAGTGGAAGCTTGCTACATTTAAATGACTTGCTGAAATTTTCAGAACTACAGATGGAGGCAGGAATTAAATCAAGGCACCCTGTGCCATAGCCAATCATTCCCAAAGATGAATAAACAGTAGTGATTGGTTTCATAATTATTATCACTGTCATCAAAATTATTTAATTCCAACCACTCTAGCAATTATATTTCTAGGGATTTATCTCACAGTCATAATATTGCATATCCATAATAAAGTATATTCAAAAATGTTCTTTGCAACACTGTATTGGCAAAATATAGACAAAATTAAATGCCTAACAGTAGGGCTCAGAAACTGATACCGCAAAATATGGCACTTTAACAAATGCTGAACTGAAGAAGACGAAAGGTATCTCTGACCTTACCCCCTTACCCAATCCTCCCTATCCCAAAGCATAGGATGAAGTCGTTCTCTGAAGTTCTCTTATCTGCCTAAAGTCTAGACTCAATAGAAAACTATTACCTCTGGTTCTTTCTCTGAGTTTTCATTAACTGAATTCACATCACAGGAAGAAAGACTTAAGTCAACAGACAACACACCTGGACACACTTTTGTCACAAACCATTGTCTGCTCTGCAGTTCCAACAGACTTTGTCCCAGGCCATTGTATGTTCTTCAAGCCCACTGAATTCCCCTAAAAATCATTTACTACCTCCCTAAAATCATCCACACCTCCCCATCTCCCTTTCCCCTAAGAAGAAGGCTGTATATCCATTTGTACTCCATTATGTTATGGGGCAATCACTCTGTGATTTTCCCCCATGCATATTAATATATTTGCATGCCATTTCTCCTGTTAATCTACCTTTTGTGAGTTGCTTTTTCAGCAAACCTTCAGAGGTGGAGAAGTTTTCCCTTGGCCCATACACTATGAACTTGGACAGACTAAATAAATTACAGTACATTTAGAAGAAGGGATACCACGTGGTTGGTAAAAAGAGGTAGCTCTATGAGTAGTGTATATTGATCACACACACACACACACACACACACACACACACACACACATATACAATTTATTCCCTCATTTGTTGCCATGAGAAATGTCCTTCCTTGAAGTAGGTATTAATCAGGAGGTTCTATAAGTGTCTCCTGATCTCAAAACACAGGCACACATGCACACACACACAGATTCAGAGCAGTGTGTATATTACCATTTCTGTCAAATAAATAAAAATAACTGTGTTACCTATATTCTTGTTGATAAAAGAGTATTTCTGGAAAAATACTTAAGAAACTGGTAACTTAGTGCCTTTGGGGAAAGCAACTGGGTGGCAGGGTGAAATGGAGATAAATTTTTATTGCACGCATTTTGTATTCTTAATTTTTACCACCGTCATGTAATAACCTACTTAAAAACATAAATTATTTAAGGAAAAAATCTAATTGTACGTTATTAGTGACCTTCCAGAGACTTTTGTAATCTGGGAAACAGAGTAAAAGAAAATTTACATGCATAAAAATCATCTTTCCTACTCTTTACATCCTGAGCGATTTGCTTTTTCAATAATAACAGAATCCTTTGCCGTAACAGCTTCTGTTAAATGAACGCAAAATAAAGAGTAATTTTCCATTCGTGGTCTACAGTGCTTTGCCCATGCTGCAAAGGCAAAAATTGTAGGTAAAACAATGAGAAAATGAGCACCTTGAAGCTAGGTAAGAGGTAACTCAAAAGGCAGGCCAAACATAAAATTACATCCACAAACAACCCTACCAGAGAACATCCCAGGGGGGCAACTGTTGTTTTTTTCAGCAACTTTCTTGGCTGGAAGAGGCAGGTGGCAAGAGAGCTTAACCACAGCGTCTGAACTCCTGGGGATTTACAGAGAGAGCTCTGTCCCCCAGGTAGGACAGATAGTCTTCCAGGTTTTCTGATCCTTTCCAAGAAACTTTACATGCTGTTTTTCATAGTATTTTCAAACAGGGAAGACAGAGACAGACACTTTGGCCATCAGAGATGGAGAGATTGGCTAGTGAAACTATGGAGTCGATGATTATTAGCATGATTGTTGGTGAAAAGCCAATGTATTTAAAAGGGTACATTAAAATTCTTCCAGCATGCCAGTGTGGCACAATCCTCTGCTCTCTAACAGCAGGTGCTTCTGTCAGCGGAGGAAGCCTTGTTCTAAGAAAGAATTATTCCAGAGTGCCAGAAGAACAGGTCCTGCTCCTCCTAGAGAAACGTTGACTCAACGCCGGAGGGTAGGGCTGGTGCGCTCTTTCATGGCCTCAAGCCTCCTGACCCGCACAACCGAGACCCAGAAGTAACAGGATTAGCGAGAGGAGGGGAAATACCCGCAGAACGGTGGTGATGGGTATGCATGGGGGAGTGCCAAGCAGTTTTAATCGTTAATCTCCTCCTTCTGTTGCCACAGAAAATGTCTTTCTTTGGAGGAGGCATTTCCGGGGGTTTCTATAAATTCCCTCCGAATCTCAGGATCGCTGGGACGCCGACTCCGCTCCCCGCCTGGGGAGGGCGTGGAAGGTCGGAAGCGGGCGCGGCGCTTCCCACAGGGGAGCGATCGCCAGCTCCGGAGCGACTCGGGCCTGGGCGTTGGGCCCCTCCCGTTTGGGGCCCGCCTCCCGGGAGGGCGAACTCTATAAGTTACCGCGAACAGGGTCACGTCTGCTCGTCTGGATTTAGTCCGACCCCAGCGTGAGCAAGGTCCCGCGCTTCCCCCACTCCCGCCCCACAGCATCGTGTGCCCGAGCCATGGCCCACGAGCTGTACCACCCGGAGTTCTCCCGGGCGGGCAAGCAGGCAGGGCTGCAGGTCTGGAGGGTTGAGAAGCTGGAGCTGGCGCCGGTGCCCCAGAGCGCGTACGGCGACTTCTACGTCGGGGATGCCTACCTGGTGCTGCACACGGCCGAGGCGAGCCGAGGCTTCAGCTACCGCCTGCACTTCTGGCTCGGTAAGGGGGCGGCGCGCAGCGGGACCCAGCGCGCCCTGCGCGGGGAGCGGGGGATGTAAGAGTCTCAGATTTGAAGGCTTGGGGGCAAAGGGGACTCACCGCGCCAGTCGCGCCACCACGGGGCGCCTCTTTCGGGCTGGACACTCCTGCCCAGCCGAAGTCAACTCCCCGCCCGCTGCAAATGTGGGGCGCGGGGAAGTCCGGGGCAGATTTATCCTGCTGGCTTTGACCTTTGTCAAGTTCAGTTCCTGGACCTTTTGAGGCTGGTCCTCAGGCTTCTGCCTCTTTCACCTTCCAATCTCCAAACGCCACTGTCGCCCAGGAGCGCTGTCCCTGCGCACCGGGCGCTGGCCAAGTCCCCCTCACCTTCCCACAAGTTCAGTTCTGATTTCCCTGTCAAGATGGAGATGAAGTCAAACAAGTTTGTGAGCGTCTGCCGCAGTTGGCAAAAAGTCCTTCCCCCCCGCCATAAATTTATGTTTATTTGTTGCCTTTGGGCACCAGTTTATATTTCTCGATTACTTGCAAGGATTAGTGTTCTGGGCCTCTTTCAAACAGGATTCTGCCTGGACTTCGAGCTGCTTGCCGGGTTTGGCAGACAAAAACTCCTGTTTATCGGGGAGCTGGTGTCTTGGGATGGGAGAAGAAAAAGAAATACGGATATTATCTGTATAAATAAATAGTTCTATATGGCTGATTTGTGTATTTATTTAGATAAGCTGCCTTGTTATTATTTATTAATTTATTATTTATGTTTTAACAAGGATGCAGTGTGGAACAGAATGGCCCCTTCAGCAGTAGTAATTATTTTGGGTTGCATTCCTGCCAGGCTTTCAGGACACTGGGCCTTGTGTGTTCTACTTTTTCCACCTTCTACTTTTACTAGTAAACATCTGAGTGTCCACCCTCTCCCTGTGAGGTCTGTCGCCAGTAGGCACACCCTGTGTTAACAACATGCCGATTATCTGAGTCTGTTACCTTCTTTTTTTTTTTTTTTTAAGACAGATTCTTTCTCTGTCGCTCCCAGGTTAGAGTGCAGTGGCGTCATCATAGCTCACTGCAACCTCAAACTCCTGGGCTCCAGCGGTCCTCCTGCTTCAGCCTCCGGAGTAGCTGGGACTATAGGCAGGCTCCATGACACCCCCAGCCCACTCCCCACCCCCGCTAATTTTTCTATTTTTAGTAGAGTCTGCTCTTGCTCTTGCTCAAATTGACTAAGAACTCCTGAGCTCAAGCAATCCTTCCCGCCTTGGGCTCTCAGAGTCCTTTTGCCTTCTTTTAAAATTAGCTCGCCTCCCCTGTGCTTGTGTTTATTTTTATTCCTAAGCTTAGAAGGTAAACAGACAAAATCACACACACGTATTCTTAAATTCCTGAAAGGCAACAATTTCATTTCTAACATTTGAAGATTTTAACAAAAAAATAGTAGAAAACATTGACTAGTGACTGTCTAAACATTGGCAAATACCTGGAACAGGCGCTTGAGAAATTGAGAAATAAAAAGAAGATAGAACAAAGATAGAACTTCAAATTATAGCATTTGGTATCAAAAAATTGTGTTAACTTGAAGAGTTTGAGAAGGCTCAGTCTTGAGTTCTAAACTCATTTTATTTTCCCATTACATTGTCATTATTCGTATTATAATGTTATAATCGACAGTAATCTATTTATATTTTATACCAGAAAACACTGAAACCTTAATATATAACCTATGTTCAAAAATGAATGATACCAGATAGATTAATGATGTCCACACTGAAGTCTTTCCATCCAGAACTTGGATCTGGAATGAATAAGAGTGTTTAAAATGCCACATTTGCCATTTGGGTGAATTAAAATGTGAAAGAATTCGATATCTTAATGTAGACAGCAGTTAAGTTTGACTTTGTCAGAAGACTGCAAGTAGGATTTGAACACAATTCTCTAATTCTATAAATTCTTTCTTATGCAAGGAGATTTTTTTAAGCACTGTGTTTTGTAGGGTTTACAGATTCATTTTAGCTCTTAATTATTCTCTTAGTGCTCATCAATTTCGAAATATAATAGAAAATGCTTTGAGTAGAAACATTTAGGATCTTAAAAGATACGCTAAAACTGAAGTCAATAGTATGTTAATGGCAAGCTAATTCATTCAGTAAATATCAATGTGCCCACCACTGTGTAATGTACTTTTGCATATGAATAATTTATGAGCCTTTTCTTAGTTTCATCATCTCAAAGATGCAATAAGACAAAAAGTGGTACAACACCAGTAAAATGTGATAAGTACTGTGAAAGAGACAAAAATATCTGTGGTTATGGGGGAACAGAGAAGCCTTGAGGGAAAACAAGGGAAGGAGAGTAATTGGGAGGCTTCTTGCTTCAAGAGAAAATCATAGGGAGATGGAAAAGCTTAAAGTAAAATATTCCAGCAGCTCTTCCTACTTCAGTTCCCTAAGCAAGCTGAATTTTATCAGAAATAGTCTACCCAAAGATCTAAATTAGGATAAATCCATAAGGATTAATCAGAGAGACAGACTGGGAGAAAATTCTAGGAAGGAGAGCTGAAAGTTCAGGGGAAAAGAACATTTGATTAAAGGAAATCCAGACATCAATTGGAAGGAAGAGAAGTGAAAGTAGAGTCGAAATGGGATAAAAAAGGTGCATAGCACAGAAATGAAGAAACAGGCTAAGTAGGAGTCAGAATGGGAAACAGGAAGAAGTTGTACCTGGAATGAGAGAGAACAGAGGGAGAATGATCTTTCCAGGTCTCTTCCTCAGAGTTTCCATAACACCCTGGCATAGCTCAGATTATTCTATGTACCACCTTGCATTAACATAAATGTAAGGAAAGTAAGAATTTGTTGCATATAACTTAGAAGTTTTGGCATTAGTGCTTTTTTAAAAACATTTCAGGTTTGTACCTAGCGGTTTAAATGCATCTACCTTGTGCTTCTAGTTTCTTATAGTACCAAGTCGATGAGCAGGGCCAGCTGGTAAAACAGCTCTCTGTCACATCCCCAACCTATGCTACCAATACCTACCCTCACCCTTTCTCCTTGCCAGTTTTAACTTCCCATAAATAGATTTTAAAGCAACATACATACATTTATCCTGTGACTAGTCTCTGCTAGGCCTTCTGCAAGTCACTGAAAATCCACAGGATTGAATTATAATAAAAGGAATTTATACAAAGGGCTGGAGAGGATGCTGAGACATTGGATAACTCACATTGCTGGGGCAGGGGGCATGTACAATGGTACAGCACTCTGGAAAGGGTTTAGTAGTTTCTTACAAAACTAAACATTCAATTATCATATATGACCCAGCAACTGCATTCATGAGCACATATACTGGAGGAGTAAAAATTTCTGTTCACGCAAAAACTTATACACAGATGTCCTTAGCGATTTTATTTGAATAGCCAGAAACTGAAATTAGCCCAGATACACTTTAACAGGTGACTGGTTAAACAAGTTGTGATACATCTATACCAAGGAATACTACTTAGCAGTAAAAAAGAACAAGCTATTAATACACACAACAAATTGGACAAATCTCCAGGGAATTATGCTGATTGAAAAAAAAAAACAAACTAAAAGGTTCCATACTGCATGATTCCATTTATATAACATTTTCGAAATGACAAAATTTTAGATTTGTTGTTGCCAGAGGTTGAGGATAGGTTGAGGAGGGAGTGATGCAGGCAGAAGGTGAGGGTAGTTATAAGAGGGTAGCGTGAGTAATCTTTTTGGTGGAACTATATAGCATCTTTATTGTGACAGCAGATATATGAATTTATACCTGTGATAAAATTGTATAGAACTAAATGCACACATATATAAATGAGAACAAGTAAAACTGGAGAAATACGAATAAAATAGGTAGACTGGATTGATGTCAATATCCTGGTTGTGATATTCTGTGCTATGCCATACTGTACTACATATTAGTATACTATAGAATACTAAACCATACTATAATTTTACAAAATGTTGCCATTGGGGAAAACTGGGTCTATTGATCTATGTGTCTATTCTTCACCAATTCCACTTTATTTTAATTATTGTAGCTATAGAGTAAACATTACTTTTGGGTAGAGTGATTCCTCCCACTTTATGCTGCTTTGTCAAGATTATTTTAGCTACTCTAGAGCCTGTGCCTCATTATATAGATTTTATGATAAACTTCTATAATAAACCTTACTGTGATTTTCATAAGAGCAGTATTAGGCCTATAGATCAATTTGTGAAGAATTGACATCTTTATCATGTTGAATCTTAAAATCCATGTATGTACTAAGCCTTTACATTTATTTCGGTCTTTTTTGAATTTTTGTATTGCCATTTTGTAATTTTCAGCATTCAGATCCTGTGCATGTTTTACCTGAGTATTTCAGTTTCTTTGGAGTGATTGTAAATGGTATTATGCTCTTAATTTGGGTTTCTGCATATTCATTGTTTTTATGTAGACATGCAATTGATTTTTTTACTGATTAATCTTGTGTCTTGCTATCTTGCTGAATGCACTTTTTATTTCCAGGAGGAGTTTTTTTGGTGGGCTCCTTAGAATTTACTATGTAATCAATCCTGTTATCTTTAAATACAGACATTTTTATTTCTTCATATCCAATCTGTATGCCTTTTATTTATTTTGTTCACCTTATTGCTCTTGATCTTACAGGGAAAGCATTCAGGCTTTCACCATTCAGTATTATGTTAGCTCTATGTTTTTTGTTGATGCTATTTATCAAGTTGAGGATGTTCCTCCCTCTTCCTAATTTGGCTATTTTTTTTTTTTATCATGAAAGGATGTTGGATTAACTTAGTTTTTTTGTTGTTGTTGTTGTTTTTTGAGACAAGGTCTGGCTCTGTCACCCAGGCTGGAGTGCAGTGGCCCAATCATAGCTCACTGCAGCCTCAAACTCTTGAGCTCAAGCAATCCTCCTGCCTCAGCCACCCAAGTAATTAGGACTACGAGTGTGCACCACCATACCCAGCTAAATTTTTTTTTAATTTTTTGTAGAGTTGGAGTCTTGCTATGTTGCCCAGGCTGGTCTCCAATTCTTGGCCTCAAGTAATTCTCCTGCTTCAGCCTCGCAAACTGCTGGGTTTACAGGTGTGAGCCACCACACCTGGCCGACTTTCAGATAT